TACGTAAGAACAGATTTTAAACAAACATATTTTTTTAAACATAAATTTTGATGTTAGATTTCCACTTTAAAGTTTACAAAACCGCGACAAGTGTTTCGATATACAAAAACATCTTCGGGCGTCACAATACTGTTTGTACAAGACACATGTAACATATAAAGACATGAAGCCATTGTATGGCGAAACACGTGTTGCGTTTTTGTAAAATTAATTAGTGAAAATCTCACTATAAAGTGTTTTTTGAATACGTTAGTTATGGATTTTCATCAAATATCGGCCAATTCCATCATATATCTGTTTATACAAATTCTGTGTTGTGCTTTAATAGTAATTTGAATCAATATGACTATTACTATCTGCCAAATTTCTACATAATAAACTTATTGCCTACACTATTCCTCTATCTAGAAACAACTCATAAAACTGGAGAATAACGAATAAAAAAGTTGCCTAAGCTATCATTTCTACTACTTTTTAAATATGTCCTAATTACCAACTTTCTCCTTCCAAACTAAATTCAATACAGGGGCACAATTCAAATCTATTTGATCATTAAGTAATTCATTCCCAATTTTAACATCTACTGTTTTCTAAATAAGTAGAATTCATAAGTAACGACTCCGCTTATAACGACTATCCGTTTACAGAGACGATAATGTTTACACAAGTTTAGTTTCATATTTAGTTATTGAGAAAATATACCGTTTAGTGCGACTCCGGTTTAAGCGACCAAGCAAAGCGACCATTTTTCATGATAATACCATCGTCCATAGATATTCTCTATGGACGATGATAATACATCCGGTTCAAACGTCGCGCAATGTTTTGTTAGCGTACTCCCTCTTCTTAGGTACCTCTATTGATAGATACTACTAACAGATATTAATAGATTGATTTTACGCCAGAGGTTCCATAATAAAGTTCGACAAAATGAATTCTATGAAGCGAAAATGTTTTGCAATTGAAGAAAAAAGTGCAATATTACACCGATTAGAAGCCGGTCAATCAAATGCAACCCTTGCAAAGGAGTTTGGCGTATCCCATTCTTCAATATCCACAATTAAAAAGACTAAAGATGATATCGAGTCGCTGTTCAATGCCAATGTTTTGAAATTCAAACGTGTAAGGACTTCTACTCGTGAGCAGTTGAATAAGGCATTGCGAAACAATATAGAATGTAGCCTAACTTCAAACCTAGATGATTTCAATGAAGAAGAAGACGTGCCACTGAGCATTTGGGCGAGGGATGTTGATATGCATCAGTTACCCATAACAAACGAGGATTTTGAACAATACGCGTGTGTCGATGATGCTGTCGCAACTTGTGAGGAACCATCTGATGAAAACATTGTGGAAAATATATTGCCAACGACGCGAATGGCAAAGATAATGACAGTGATGATGACGCGCCAGAGGAGATTTATCCAACTTCGAGTGTGTCTATAGCTCTGAAGGCTGCGGAAAGGCTCAATGTGTTTGTCAGACCACTTCAGACTAACTTGGAGGATGATGTTATGAAAACAATGATGTCTCGAATTCATAATGCTGTACGAAATTCTTACTATCGAACAAAAGTTTGTCAAAAACAAACTCAAATAACAGACTTTCTATGTTAGTAACACAGTTTTTTTTTGTGCATTGCGTGTGTATTTTATCTCTTTGTACTACAGTACATAATGTAAGTACATATGTTTGTACATTAGGATATTCAAGAACTATTGAAATAAAGCATATGTGATTCCTATAAAATGTTTCATTCAACTATCGATCAGCAGTCGCTCAGCTGAATGAAAGACTAATGAACTAATATACACGCTACTACTACAAAATTAATCCATTTTGTGCGTCGTCCGATTAGTACGACATAGTATATCCGGTCCCTTGAAGGTCGTTATATCCGGATTCTACTGTATTTCAAAAGGTTGAGTTATGAACCTTTTTCTTCCAAATGCAATATGTCATAATTGTGACTAAACTAATGCCTCACTGTCAAAAGATTATTCGCAAATGTCAAATGGGTCTTTCCATTCAAAAAACCACTCCTGTTCTCTTTTATTCTTTTGGGAAGAGTTCTTTCGGTTTGTCCGATATATGATTTTGGACAAGAGCTACAAGTCAACTTGTTATATCATATTTTTGAACGAATAAACATTAATTATAAATCAAAATGTAATTTCTTCGGATGACGTTCAGGACCTCAAACTATTCCCTTCCTCGAGTTCTTCTAAAAGTCTCTTGAAATGTTACACAATTTTATAAATTTCAAATTTGAGCTCTTTCGAAATTGAATGACAAGTTTGCACATATACTGGTTGTTCATAACTTCACATGGCATGGAATTTTCGAAGTTCAGCTTCTTTTCTCAGGAGAATAGGTTATATTTGATCTAAATTTATTGAGCATGATGCCATATTTTCATTTCCTTTCTTCTCTGTTCGTTGAGCGCTGGCATTAGAATTCTGGCGTTGTACTAATTTATCAAAATGGGGTTTTCTATGTATTGGTTTCATATCGAGTGGTCCAACGAAAAGTATGCACCTTGCTTTTCTCTTTTTTTTGTAACTTAACGCAAAAATGCTCGGACAGGTCAATTTTGCTTTTGAGAGGGACACATTTGAGATGTATTTTTGTACCTGTGCCTTCAACCCCCTAGCGAGGGTGAGTAACAACCCTAAAATTCTAAATGGAAAGTAGGGTCGAGTGATATATCATTTGAAAAGGCACAAAATTCTCTTTCCAATGATACCTAATTTGTTGTATTCACTTGAATAGTTATAAAAAAAGCAAGAACATTTACTCGATATTTTTGGTGTTAATGGAAATGCGGAAAAAACGTCATTTTTATCACTACTACATTCCTCAATTTTTCTTGTGGGTTTTTTGGTTCAAATAATAACAGCAGATAAGTGTACAAAAAAAATTTAGGCAAACGTTCATTGATTCAGTTCGGTTGCTTTTGAAATTATTTCAACTTTACTCTAAAAATGGTTTATTCCATTCCTGAACGAGTTGAAATTGTTAAACTTTATTATCAACATAATAGTTGTGCTAGACTTCTGCTCGCCTCTTTAATAACAGTCACCAGCCTCAGCCTCAGGTGTCTCCCGTTCGTCCATAATACGGATATTAAAAGCCTATAAGTTTTATCCGTACCAAATTAAATTAGTACAGGAACTCAATGAAGATGATCCTGATAGAAGGCTGCAATTTTGTGAACAACTGAGCCAGCTACTAATTGATTATCTGCACCTATCATTCAACACGTGCTTTTCCGATGAGAGTACATTTTTTTTGAATGGAGCTGTGAATAGGCATAATTGCCGTTACTGGGATGACAGTAACCCACACTTATTCCGAGAGGTCCATACCCAGTACCCTCAAAAAATCAATGTCTGGTGTGGCATCTTAGGTAGTCATATCGTAGGGCCACTTTTTATTTCTGGGAATTTAACTGGTGAGATCTACCTGAACATGCTTGAAGATACAATTGATCCTCTCATAACAGAAATTATTGAAAATGACCAAAATCATAATGACGATCGGCTTCATTTCCAGCAAGATGGAGCACCTCCTCACTATGTTGCTACGGTAAGAGAGTTTTTAGATGACTGGTTTCCGGGACGGTGGATTGGAAGGAGAGGCCCCATTGAATGGCCTGCCAGGTCACCTGATTTATCGCCTTTAGACTTTTTCCTTTGGGACACTTGAAAAATAAATGTTTTGCTACGCAGCCCGAGTCCATAGAAGATCTCTGCCAACGAATTACAGCAGAGTGCAGAAGTATAACACCTGATATGCTACAGAATGTTAGGAATAGATTTGAACAAAATATGTATTATTGTATGGAAGCAAATTGGTCACATTTTCAGCACTTGCTGAAGTAGGATTCTACTAAGTCAATTACACATTTCAAAGTACTGGGTTGTAGTTGTTTTTTTTCATAATACCTACATGTTTGAGTGGAATACAACAAATTAGGTATCATTGGAAATATAATTTTGTGCCCTTTCAAATGATATATTACTCGGCTCCAGTTTCCATTTAAAATTTTAGGGTTGTTACTCACCCTCGCTAGGGGGTTGAAGGCACAGGTAGAAAAATACATCTGAAATGTGTCCCCCTCATAAGCAAAATTGACCTGTCCGAGCATTTTTGCGTTAAGTTACAAAAAAAAAGGACAAAAGCAAGGTGCATACTTCTCGTTGGACCACTCTATATATTCATATATTTGGTAACGTGACATAGATGAATTGGATATTTTCCTCGATTTTATCAATAACAGAGAACCTACAACGAAATTCACCAAAACAATGGACAAAACTACCGACTCTCTTTTTTGATGATCAGATCAGTACCGATTCATCCAGAAATGGACCTCATCGCTGGAGATGCCCAGTTGCCAACTGCTCCAGAGCCCATTCTGCGAACACACGTTGTTGTCTATGGTCGTTTACCTTCAGTTCCCACCTCAGTTGAATTTTGTACGGGTGCAGGCCGAAATTACAACGCAAACATTCACCAAGTTGTGATCTGCGTGAGGACAAGTTCCTGTTAACGATGCGAAATCGAGTGCCTCGGATTCTGCTGCTTACTCTCACAGACAGCGGCGATATTTTCGGCAGATCTTGGGTTTCGTCGAAATAGGGTTGTTGATCGATCGTTTACTAAATTAGTGGACTTGAATAGTTTTTTTGGTAGGACGATAATGACGGTCGTAAAATGGGCGAATCGTGCGGTACGTTGCTCGACCTGAACACCTAATTAGATGTAACAGTTTCATAATTTGCACATGTTGTTGACTGCTATATGCGTTTATGGTGATTTGACAAAACAGACTGAATAAATGACAAATAATTTGACAGATGCAGCTTCAACAAAATGGGTCTACCAACGGAGAAGTTCCCGTTGGAAGACCCTATACATCTTTGACTGTTTTTAAAATGTGATGAGACTTCGTGAATTTTATTACTTCAGGCAATTGACAGTTGTTTTTGTTTCAGTTGTACAACTTCTTCAATGCATTATTGACACACATTCCTCAGTCGGATCGAGAGATCGATTCTACTGAAACTTCTAGAAGCTCTTCCTTAGGTAAGTTACATTAATTCTTTACATACTGGGCACGAATGGTTTACAAAAATCAATTTCATGAAATATCTTTTTCTGATTCAAATTCTCAAATGAAAGCACTTACATTTTTTGCCAATATAAACGTGAGTACTGTATACTTAGTTATTTGTCTCAAACATAAAATTTTACAATCGTTCATTGCAGGATCAGTAATAATATGACCGAGTGTGATATTGGATGAGATCAGGGCCGTAGCGAAAAGAAATACCAGGGGGGGGAGGGAATCCAAATTTTCTCAACCCCACCAGCAAAATTTCCCAACTTTCGAAAAAATTAAAGCCGAAAGATTAGTTACTACTATAATATATTAATTTTCTCACTTAGCTATCCAAAGATTGGCTGAATGCTTATGCCTGTTAGGGTATGCACAAACCAAAATAAATTTTGGTTATTATAAAAATAATAATGGGAATTATTCTACTTTGGACCAAGGTCCTTGGTCATCCACCATATCCACCATGTATAGGAATATTCAATACAAATGAAAGGAAATAACACTTAAATAATATTGTGCTTATTGTTTTCTACTATTATTTTTTCCATCTTCACGGCCCGAAATTTTTCAACTTTTTCAAGTCGAAAAAACAGCGAAAATTTGGAAAATTTGTAAAATTTTCACTTCAAAATTTGTGGACTGTTCAGGACTGTTCTCTCACTTGGTAGAAATTAAACTTTTTTGAAATTTTCAAACAACTCAGAATTTCAAAGTATGGGATCTCCAAGTTATGCATGTTGGGAAATCCCAACCTTCTCCCGGTTCTTTCCCTTTTCTTATTACATCTCCCTTTCTTTTCTCTGATTTTTATTTTTTTAATTTTCGTTCATTTTTTTACTATTATTTTTTTTGTATCTTCACGGCCCAAAATTTCCCAACTTTTTCCCAAGTCAAAAAAGCAGAGGTGGAGGCTCCCCCGATCCCCCCCATGGCGACGGCCCTGGATGAGATATATACGATAGGTTGCCTTTTATGTTTCGGGATTTGGCAACCCTAGTGTTGCAATCTGGCAAGTGACAGCTCTATCGTAAAGTTGGACATTTTTTATCTTATACGTACCCAGAACGTTTTGACATACGCGCGCTATTTGTGTTGTTTACAATAACCTAAAAGATGCATCTCGGCCCAAAAATGGAATTGAATCGTGAGCATTTCCGTGCGATTATTTTTTACAACTTTCGACGTGGATTAACTCAGCAACAGTGCATGGATGAACTTAATTCAATTTTTGGCGATGAAGCTACATCAAGGACCAGTGTTTATCGATGGTATGGTGAATTCCATCCTGGTCGTAATTCACTCCAAGTCGAATTTCGTGAAGGTCGTCAAAAATCAGTTGTTGTTCCGAAAACCATTGATGCTATGCGCGAACTGATATTGCAAGATCGTCATGTGACCTATCGTGGGATTGAGACAACCTTAGGCATTAGTGGGACCAGCATACATTGAATATTGCATAAACATTTGACTGTCAAAAAAATTCGTTCGCGTTGGATCCCATACAATTTTTCAATCGCTCAAGAAAAGGCTCGTGTCGATTGGTCGAAGGAAATTCTCAAAAAATACGATTGCGGTACTTTGAAACACGTCTTTGACATCGTGACAGATAATAAATCTTGGATTTACGCGTATGAGCCCGAAAGTAAATATCAGTCGACTGTATGGGTGTTTCAAGAAGAGCCAAATCCAACATCAACGTAGAACACTCAATTCTGAGTGGTACACAACCATTTGTTTGCCACTTTTCTTCCAAGAAATCAGGAAAACCAACCGCCGAAGACGGATCACTCTTCACCACGACAATGCGAGCTCTCACACATCGGCTCAAACAACTGCATTTTTGAGCATCCAAAACATCGATTTGTTGACTCATCCGCCGTATAGTCCTGACTTGGCACCGAATAACTTCTTTTTATTCCCGCACGTAAAAAACAAACTCAGAGGTCAACGTTTTTCGACACCTGAAAAAGCTGTTGCTGCATTCAGAATGCATGTTTTGGAGATACCTCAATCAGAGTGGCAAAATTGCTTCGACAATTGGTTCAAACGCATGCAAAAGTGTATATATCTTAATGGGGAATATTTTGAAAAACAATAAAGTGATTTTTGATGATTAATATTTGTTTTTGTTCTCTAATCCCGAAATATAAGAGGCAACCCTCATTGTATAGAAATCTTGAAATTTCCATTTGAAAATGATTTATGAAAAATCAAATACTTCCATATGAATCTTGAAGTATACGAAAAACACTTGTCTCTATTCCATTTGTTTTCCAAACATTCGTAATAGAATCCAATCAGATATCATTCACAGGATTTCTACACACAATACTTATTCAAAAAAGTCAAATTTCACTTACATGAAACACTGCCATTCTCACTGCTAGACACAACACATTCTCACGGAATGTGTTGAATCCATCCATGTCATCGATGACAGTATGTAAATAACATTCGTTCGCTTATTTGAATGAATCCCAGCCATAGGAATCTTGTTTAAATTTTTAGGAGGGATTAATTTCTTGGAAAGAAAGTTTTTGGCCCTCTACTTCTCCGTCTTGATACAAAAATTGTGGGAATCTTCTCGAAAATAATCATGAACCCAGCACTGAGTACTTTTTTACAAACATCAGAATCCACGACGCATTATCTTACATTCAGCGGAAGGAAGACTAATAAATTTTCCAAGACCGACACGACATCGTTACTTTTAATCGCTCTTGCAATTTGAATGCTGTTTATTGGGTTTCGTGCGGTTAACATCTTTTGAATTCCTGGTCTTTTTACAGAATAATTATTCTTGATTTTCAATGGGCGAGGGGCTATGGAATGAAAAATGAGTAATGCGGATTATCGTTAGGTCGATTAGGGTAGAAAATTATTCAAAGAAAAAACACCCTTGATTGAACGATTTTTAATTTTGAATTCTGGTTGTTTGTGATTCCACAAATTCTCAGGTTTGGAGTTGGTTGATGAAAAAATTTTGAATATATTTATATTTTATAATAAATTTTCTTTATAGTTTCTTGACCCACATCGATTAAAAAAATTATAATGCTTTTGAAAAATCAAGAATATAATTGATCGTAATATACGAGTACATATTACCTATAATAGCTTTATTGTCCAACAGTTACCCATTTACAGGACAATATAAACTATATTTAACTATAAACGAAAAATAAAATGAACAAAAAAGAAAAACTAATTCTAATTACCTACCTAAAGTGCATGTTAGCAATTCTAATAATGTTATGAAGGTTAGTGAAGAATAAATCACCATGGGCACAAATGTTATCGAAAATTGTGCACATAACATACATTGGGGAATTGAGCATAATGTTAGTTCTTGCTCAGAGAGGTCTAAAAATGGATTGAGATCGTGAAGCTAGCCGTGGTACTTTGAAGTTAATTTGTTCAAGAATTTTAGGACAGTCAACTCTCTCATTCACTAACTTGAATAAAAATATGAGCGACGCACATTTTCTGCGATGCTCTAAACTAAAAAGTTCCAAACGTTCATATATTACATCATTACTGATACCTCTCTGAGGGTAAGAACCATCTATTTTGAAAATTAGAAATTTACAAAACTTTCTTTGAACTTTTTCAATGGCTATGTTATGAATCTCATAGAATAGACTCCAGACGATACTTGCATATTCTATCTTTGAACGTACGTAGGTGAAATACAACAGCTTCATGGCTTTAATAGTATGAAAGTTTCTGCAATTTCTAACAATGAAACCATAAGCTCTGAAAGATTCTGAAACTTTTTGTGAAATATGTCTACCAAATGTTAATTTATGATCGAATATTACCCCTAGGTCTTTGATCTCATTACATCTCAGCAGATCTGAATCCTGTATTACATACGGGAATGTATAAACCTCTTTTTTTCGACTATAACTCACTACTTTACATTTCTCCACATTGAGTTTCAATTTATTGTTGCTACACCAAGCAACAAGAAATTCTAATTGAGATTGAAGATTTACACGCTCACATAAGTCATTAATAAACAATAAAAACAAAAGAGGACCTAGGTTGGAACCCTGAGGTACACCAGAAGAAGATATATATATGTTTTAGATTTATAACCTTATAGGAGACGAATTGTTTTCTACATGTCAGATAGGATTGCATCAGATGACAGGCAATATTCGAAAAACCAAAACTCATCAGTTTATTGAGCAAGACACCATGATCAATTCTATCAAATGCTTTAGAGAATTCCGTGTATATCAACTTGGCCATTGTTATCTTATGCCTCGGAAATAAATTGAGTAATAATGACTAGATTTGTAACAGTAGAACGCTTAGTAACAAATCCGTGTTGCTGTTGAGATAGTTGCCGTTGAACAGAAACATATATGCGATTATATAAAATAATCTCAAAAATTTTAGAAAACATACATAAAATAGATATGGGTCTGTAATTCTCTATATATGATTTTTCACCACTTTTATATACAGGACATACTTTAGCTAATTTCCAAATATCTGGGAATGTTCCACATATCAGACATGAATTAGAAATTCTCGTTAAAGGTTTTGCTAATGCTGCTGCACAATCCTTCAACAAAAATGAAGGGATCATATCTGGGCCTGATGTCAGTTTGTCCTTTAGTTTTTTAGTTGCAGATACAGCTCATTTTCTTGAATGGGGTAAAAATGAATATGAACATTATTATTCACTGTACCAACTTTGTTCAAAAGTGAGCCAGATTTTGAATACACCTCACTGAAAAAATTACTGAAGGCATCAACAATATCTTGAGGATTCTCGAGTTTGTTTCCTAAGTATGTTACTGATCCTGGTATTCTTGTGCTATTATTCTTAGAGTGAACATATGACCAGAATCCGCTAGAATATCTAGACAACATTGTTTGAATGTTTGCAAGATAGTTATGTGCGGTTTTTATTTGGCTTTTAATCAAAGCACGCAAACGTTGGAATTGAAATATATCCTCATCACGTCTAAATTTCCTGATTTTTTTTCTGAATTTAGTTTTCTGTTTAATGTTCTTTATGATATCAGAATGAAACCATTTAGGATAAACATGACTAACATTTTTGAATTTGGGTATATGATCCTCAAAAATGCCATATAAAATTGAATATAGGTTATCGATTAATTTATTATTGTCCTTAGACGTGCCTAAATTACTCCAATCAGTTTCCTCTATCTCTCTATACAAAGATGGAAAGTTCGCTTTTCTAAAGTTATATGTGATGTTTGATTGGTTTAACTTGAAATTCTTTTCTTTGATGTGTATATCAGCTATTTTGATACTTAATACAGGATGGTGATTATCTTCAGGTACAAAAGGCAAATTTTCATGGGTAACATAACAAGAAAAAGGTGAAAAAACTAGATCTAACATTCTGTTCAGGTAATTAGTTATACAGTTTGATTGTTTATACTCAAGCATGTCAAAGTAGTTGAGGGTTATACGCGTTTTTGGATCATTAAAATCCCTTTCGATGAACTTCGGAACATTGAAATTGACAAAAAAATTGAATTACCCTCATATGAATAATCTAACTATTTCAAGGCATCAAAAAAACATTCAAATTCAACTAATCCAATCGTATCAGGTATTTACAAAGCTATTAAGGAGAATGTTTTATGCTCCAAATGACATTTAACTATCAATCAAAAGAAACTGTATATTAAATGTATTAATATCCATTACTTCTGAATATATGAAGTCCCTTACAAAAATTAATACACCTCCCCCTGTTACCTTATCCACCGTTTCCAGTTTGCGATCTTTTCGATGTACACAGAAAGCGCTTGTGAAGAGTTCACAATTTGAAAAATCCTCACTTAGCCAGGTTTCAGTTAACACTATCAAATCAAATTCACAATCACTGACAGCTGCCTTGAATGAGTCAATTTTACTGTTGAGACCCCTCACATTCTGATAATAACATAAGATACTGATGCGTTGGTTTCGTTCCCTATAACTGCTGGACGCATTTAGTTTAAAGCTTCAACTATTCTGGGGTTACCAACATTCTTAATTATATACTTCTGTAGACCCTCGGCATTTTTTGCATTAATTTCCTCCTTCAGCTTCCTGTAATGTTCAATTTGTCTACGGGTGCGGTCAAACGAAATAGATATTCCCTTATATGGAATGTTTTGCAGGTTTTTTGCTTTTCTTATCAGATCAAGGACCTATAGTTCATTCTGCAGCACTATTTTCACAGGACGTTTTTTTTCTCATGAAATCCACCCAGTATAATTGGTTTCAAATTCTGTTGTTGGAAGTTTGTATCAACTGTCTTCAGTACTTCACATACATCGGAAACATCTTTATCTAAACGAGTTTAAGGCTGATCTGATTGATTTTGTTCTGGTAAACCAAATAATATTAAATTCGTCTTTCGAGAGTTACGATCATTTAATTCCTCCATAATATCTTCAAATTCTGTAATAGGCGAAGGTTCAGTAGTGGTTTTCAAAGTACTATTTTCAGCTTTCAGAGCTCTAATATCCTCTTGTAATGATAATATAATACTCCTCAAATCATTAATCATTCCAGCAGCCCGAACAAGACCATGTATAACCCTTATCCTGTTCGCACAGGATCTTAATTTCCTCTACTGAGAGGGTAACACATACATGCCGGAAAAATCGCATGCAAACTGAACATTTCACTATTAGGTGAAAATTTGACGGCATTTTATTTGTACTGCGGCACTGGATATTTCTTGCAAAAAAAGATTCGGTAATAGTAAGCACCCGTACTATTTAATCTGGTCATACCGTACTCTGGTAGAGCACGCCTCTGGAACGGTATTACCTACCCACTTGTATTAACAGATGTGGCTAATTGCTTGCAATTTGCGGCTTACACCCAATACACTGAATCAGTTTTAAATATAATTCAAATTTTCGCTAACCCAAAACTTGAAACTAATTTTTATTTTCACACAGTTGTTCACGGTATTTTCACTGTCGTTTTGGTGAGAAATTTGAAAATTTTCTTCCGTAAAAAACCACAAAGACTTTAGTTTTTGTCGGGACAACGGCGATGCACAGATGGTCACATACATATAATGCTATTGTGATGCTTTTTGATAATCCATTGTCGAATAATAAATTTCAAAGTAGCAATGACAAAACCTTTCCAATATATAAATTTTCATGAATAAATATTGTCTTTACAGAGTTCACCTAATTTCAACATCCTGGATATACCACTATCACAAATCATAGTGTACAACTGCTGTGTAAACTTGCAAATTTCAGTTATAAATTTCGTGGGAATTGTTGTGAGTTATATAGTCGTAAATAAGCACTCTTCGGCGATTTTTTTAAACGACTATATTTGTGTTTTCCTTTGAAACTTTTGTGTATTTATCACAGACACATTTCACAATTTCAAGTATGTTTCCTCAGTTTTCATGGTATGAATCGTGGAGCCTTGGAGAACCACGTTTATTTTTGATATTCGTCGATTGCATCAACAGGAAAATCTAAGGGCATCATATCAGGTGCTCTAACGAGCCACGTTTGCCTGTTCACTGGTCACTTTTGAGCCAGCCTGTCGTAATGAAAAGGCACCTCTTCTTGCTGAAACCTAACATCAACGGAAAACTCATTTCGGTTCGTCAACTGTCATAACTAGTAGAGAGGCAAACATGGTCCCTAAGAAGAGCACACTAGATCACGATATGACACCTCTAGATGCGAAGCGTACGATTCAAAACTGCAGGTAATTTCAGAAATCGTTTATAGAAGAAAATACTCCACGAACATTGCATTATGAAAGAAATAAAAGAAATTGATCATTACCAGAGGGAGCCGATAAAAATTTTTACCTAACGAATACTGGTTTACAGCTGTCTTGATGTTCAATGCTGAAAATTAGTCTAACTACGCGCTTTTGTGCTACGAATACTCTGATGAATTCATTACTGAAACCCCATGTTATGATATTGAGCAATATATGTGAATATGCCATGGCAAAATAGATTTCTAGTAGACCTGCTGTGCCCATGCATGATTTCATTTGCCTTAAAGCAAAGAATGTCTTGTTTAGTTTGTTGCAGACATCTATTATTTGCAGATCCCATGACAAGCTTTCATCCAAGTAAGTTCCTAAAAATTTTACTTCTATACTAATCTTTATTTCGTCAATAATTTGTAGATCATCTGGAACATTATTTTTCCTATTATAAAATTTTACTATTACAGTTTTTGTGGAGTTCAATATTAATCTATTTCGCTGAGACCAGGAGCTAAAACCATCGATTATGCATTTTACGTTACTAAGAAGTACATCAATATTTCCCCCTGTAACTGTGATAGTGGTATCATCCGCAAACATGTTAGGGTGGCAATCTTTCAGATATTCTGACAAATCGTTTGCATACAACAATATGATAGTAGTTGTGACGAAAGGACTTTTTCCTTTAATGTAAGTCAATGTTCAGTTTATATTTGGAAGAAACTTCTATGCGTTATCTACAAATATTTATGAAGAGTTTGTATTATAGTTATTTTGTTTTTTCGTTTCTCAATATGGGAAGAGTAGAGTTAGTTTACAGGCGCTTTTTCCATATAGTTATTCCGAAAGAACTTTTTATGAAGTTCAAAGTTTATGTGAAAGTTTTCGTTTCAAAAGGTTTTTTACTTGATTGTATCTGAAAGAAACTTATTTGCCAGCTGTAGATGTCTTCATGAAGAGTTTTTAGTCGAGTTATATTTTTATATCTTCCATGGAAGTTTCACATACATTTTGTATGTGAAACATCACCTAACATCAGTTACACCTCTCGAAGCGAAGCAGTAACTCGTCTTGATAATGCCATCTGAGATGATGGCGAAACGTCGACTATCGATTCACGGAAATGCAATACTTTTCTCGACGCAAGTTTCATCAACCACTTTCCCCGTCTCCAGAAGTTGGAGAAAAACTGAAAACGCCAACTTGGTTGATTAAACGTGAGTCAAGAAATGTATTGCGGTTCTGGTGATTGGAAAAAGTACTTGTTTTGAAAATATCAGGTTGTTTGGAGCCGTTTCGTTTCGTCTCCATTACTTTTTCAACTTATGTCGGATGCACAAATTGATGGCGCATGTGTATTCTTCCATTATTACAACTGAATATGACTATGAAGTTATTTCAAAAAATTATCAATAATAATTTGAGTTTTACTGTTATCTGCTAACATTTTTGATACTGAAAGATGAAATGGCTTCGAAACTTTCAAATGAGTTTTTTTTTTTCAGAAAATCTTAATTTACAATTTGACGATGAATCTCCAGATGAAGAATATTACGAACCAGAAGAAAAGAGGAAATTATCAAACTTCATTCTGGAGTATCCCTATACGGAAAAAGCTATCCTTCAACTGATAGAGATATTTCGAAAACATCGAGTGAGTATTAATATTTGAGTGATACATAGAATAGTACTGAGTATATTATTTTGGAAAGAACGACAAAAGAGTGTGTCTGTTTTTGGAGTAACAAAATCCAAAAAATTAATTCAAATTAAATGTTCTTAAATTAATAATGATTTTCGTCACTGTGAGGCGCAAGTAAAATCTCTCTTGGTGAATTTTAGCTTGTTTCACATTTGATTGAGTTATTTATTAGTTAATTTTTTTTACGGAAATGATACGATCGTTAGAAGTAGTATGCTACAGTCCCCGAAGCGAGCCCCAACTTTTTTATTTGAAGAGATAGACCAGTGGATACTTCGAAACAGTTGTTCAAATTCGATATTTTTATTTTGTTACCTGTCTGTCACTTCCTCTGCCCGCCTATCTGTCTATGTGTCGTTCGAAATAACAGATAACTCTCGAACGAAACAATATATTAGCTTGAATTTTCCACAGTTTCTTGAGCTAGTCAAAATATCCAGAGCCCTGATCGCAAGTGAAATCGAATAATTGGAAAACTATTTTCAAGAAGTAACCGATAAGCTATCATAATTATGTAATTTTCTCTTCCTGATGTAATAAAATCATATAATTTATTGGATCACATGATACTATCAAATACTATTCATGATATGTCGGTCATCAAATGAATTATTCTACTGTATTATTTTTTCAGCATTTTCGACTGCCACCAAAAGACGTAGCAGACATTCTGAAGAGATCCATCATATCCTTGAAAAAACTACCCAACATCAACATTGCCTCAACGGGGATTTCAAAACAATTGACGGTGTGTGGAGACCTCCATGGAAAATTTGATGATCTTCTAGTTATCCTACATAAGGTATTTTGTTTCAATAATACTGTAGAATGACTTCTTGAAATATTCAATATGAGATGTGTATTGAATGTGAACCAGTAATTGTTACTTATGACTTGAGAAGACAGTTTTTTAATTGACAACTCGAAACATCGGTCATTTCAATTATTCAAATAACGCCATCAGCTTCGAATAACTTCTAATGATGCAAAAGAAAGATCTCAGTTCAATAAAATACACGAACAATGATGATTCACTCTAAATTTGCTTGAAATAGCTGAATGAATGGAATACACCAGATTCTTCAAACGCAATATTGATTTTATTATATTAGTTATACTTATGACATTTAATGGAAATTTTAAAATTGGTGTCAAACAATAGTTATTTTATATACAGTGTGTAACAACGGAAACTTAACAGAGCCGTTTTTGAATATAAAAAGTAAGATTTTTTAAATAAAGCTCGGACACGTCGATTTCTAATTAAAGGAGACACCTTTCAGACTAATCAGATTTTTTGTAGTACGCACCCCCTCGGAGGGGTGCGTCCGACGACCCTTATTTAGATAAGAAAAGTAGGTCGAGTGGCACCTTGTTTAAAAGGTCTTTCGAATACCTTTACAACTCATTTAAAAGAAAATTTTTGTAACAATTAGTTTTCGAGATAATTTGAAGTTAAAATTGCCATGTTAATAATACATTAGACAGATCACTTGGTAACTTGTATGCTTGAATAAAACAAATTTCGAGCAGTTCTTCTTATCAGTTTTTTATTAAATAAAATCCCTTTTTTAAAATCAATACCCACTCCTCTTCTTCCAGTTTTCATTAGTACATCGTTCGATTGTTTTGTTTAAACGGGTCGTGTATTGTTATTTGTTTAAAAATGCATTACACTACTGCTGAAAGGGTTTCAGTTATTGCTTTATTTTTTGGCAACGACCAAAATACTAATAGAACATCAATTTCATTTAACGAGCAAAACCCTGGTAAACACCTAAGCAGAAATCACGTTCTGGATTTGGTCACAAAATTCAGGGAGACAGGTTCGGTTTTAAATAAGAAAAGAAATGTTTAGAGAAGGGTAGTGAATGACGATAATGCGATTGGAGTGATTGGTCAAGTTATCGCCAATCCTAGGTTAAGTACCAGAGGTTTATCAGCAATGGCCGGAATAAGCCATATGAGCGCATGGAGAATCCTTAAAAACCACAAATTCCATCCTTACAAAATTAAACTTGTCCATGAACTCAATGAGGATGATTTTGACCGAAGACAGGAATTTTGTGAGGGCATGAGTGAGAGACTAATGCAAAATCCCGAGCTGCTTTATAACATCTGTTTTTCGGACGAAAGCTCATTTCATTTAAATGGTTGCGAGAACCGTCACAATTGCCGTTATTGGTCGGACGAAAACCCAAGACAATACGCAGAAATACATACCCAACATCCCCAAGAGTTGAATGTCTGGGCCGGAATATTAGGCAATCATAGTATAGGTCCATTTTTCATTGATGAAAATTTAACCGGTGATTCTTATTTACAACTTCTTGAAGAGGCAATACAACCTCGTATAGTTGAAATAATTGAACAGGGTCCAAGATGTCAAGATAAATTTATCCATTTCAACAAGACGGTGCACCACCCCATTATGCCCAGCAGGTTCGAAATTTTTTGAATAATCATTTTGAAGGACAATGGATTGGCATAAGAGGTCCAATTGATTGGCCAGCCCGATCACCAGATTTAACACCACTGGACTACTTTTTGTGGGGATATTTGAAGTCTAAAGTTTATGCTACACAGCCAGCCAATTTGGATGAATTACATCGTAGAATTATTGATGAATGCCGAACTATAACTCCTGGGATGTTGAATAATGTAAGAGCAAAATTCGAACAAAATCTTTATTGTTGCATGGAGCAAAATGGCACACATTTTGAACATTTACTCTAAATTTCCTATGTGAGTTACCCTTATTAGGTGTTACTTTTTTTGTGTGTG